GCTCGGACCCCGGAGCCCTCCCCTGAACCCCAGCCCGGACCCTGCCATCCGGACCGGGACCCCCTCCGAGGCTGAGACCTGCGGGACGAGCATCCCTCCCTCTCCCCTCCGTCCCCACGGCAGGCGACCCTCGTCCCTGCCGCAGCTCGCTGCCCCCGGTGTCCCGGTACCCCCGTGTCCCACCACCCCCCGTACGTGGGTATCCCGCTCCCCCGGCACATCGGTATCCCGGTACTCACCCGGTTTGGCAGCACCCTGGCGGCGGGCAGAACGAGTAAGGGCCCGGGGAGGGGGATGTGGGGCAGTCCAGGGCTGGAGGTGGGGAGCTGGGAGGGATCCTGGTAAGAAAGGTTGGCCCCCGGGTGAGACTCGAAAATTGGGCTTTAGGATGTAAGGGGCAGGAAACCCGCAGGCAAACTGTGTAATGCGGTGCCTTAAGCCTTTTGGTTATATTGCGCGTGAGGTTTTGTTCATTCCCTGTCGCGGCTTTGCTTATCAGCTAGGCAGCTGCTTAATGTAGGGTTTTTTTCCAACGCTACAGAACCAGCCTTTCATGGCCCCAAACAATACAGATTTCCCAGAGCGGGAGCTGTGCCGGTGCAAGGGACGCTGCAAAATAAGCCCTGTATTTGGGTGGCTGCAGCTGAATTGTTTTATGAACAAACAGTCCTGGACTCGGCAGCAGCGCTCACGGTACGGGAAATCCTTCAGGTCCAGTGGAAGGCTTAACTTCTTTGTCAGAGGCAGGCAGAAGAAAGATAGAGAGGGAGAAACAAGCACAGGCACTTTCAGACAAAACGCATGCCGTAAGAGATTGTTTCACCCCTGTCCCGAGGGATCTGTGTTCACAGGACAGAGGGAAGTTCAGTTTCCATCTCATTTGGCCCTTGTCCCCTCCCGACTACAAAGCAGCAGGGGCAAGTGACACCAGTTTTAAGGATGAATATACACCAAGGGGCTGGAGCGATTCATACCTATTGCACGGCTGCTCTTCCAGGAGTGTGTGCTTCACAGATGCTGCTGTTCAAGGGGTGAGGTGGAACAAAGAGTAGTATTTATACCATTGGTGTTGCAACGATTTGGCCTTGCCTTTCGTACCTGTCACGCCGATGATAAGTTCAGCGATGGGAGCGCTAGCAAAGGAAAAAAAAAATGGGACACAAGTGATTAAATGTCACAGAACAACCCTGGGACAGCAGCCTTCATATTCCTGGAAAAAATCATCCTCCTTCTAAATCAAGAAAGGATAGGTTCCTGAGCACAATCACGAATCCATTGTAAGAAAAAGAAATGCAGAGTACCCTGCAAGCATCCTTCCATTATTTCATCCCAAATGACAAGGTGATTTGCTCCTCAGCATAGGAAGTGCATCGTCTGGCCAGGCATAGAAAACACAGAGCACAGCATGGATGAATTGGGGGCAGCACTGACAGTCAAGCTTTGGCAAGGCAGGCAGGGCTGAAGCAGAGCGTTATTTGAACAGAAGGCCTGGGACAGAAACACTTTGCAGGAAAAGAGTAATTCAGTAGGTGGTGCTTACTGCCAGGCAGCCAGGGTTCAAGAGGCTACTTGAGCATTGCAGGTGCAGTCTCTCCGCCAGGCTGCTGAGCCCTCGAGTACATGAAGTTATTGAAGATATTTTTTGACGAGGGAAGGGGAGGGTACTTCCCAGAAGAAAAGATGCTAGGTCCGAGCTTCTGGCCAAGCCCTAGTTTGGGTAACTGCGTTGGGTCTTCCTCAGCACTACAAATTGTTGTCTTTCAGACTGCGCTCTTGCCCAGCTGACTTGTACTGTGGTGTGACTTTGGTGCATCTTAAAACCATTGCCGCTTTCCGTACAGCTGCGTTGGTTGGTAAGATGCACCCTTCAGATGCACCCAGGAGGTGAAATATTGCATTCTTCTCTTGGCTTAGATTCAGTGAAAAACAAAACAGGCCAAGCAAGACTTTAAGCAAAGCTCTGCCTATATACGAGCAGAAAAAAAGACCGCTATAATCGGCTTGAAGTAGCATTCATGAAGGAAGCATGAAAATCATACACCGTCCACAGAAGGTACTGTTCTCCACAATTATCGTAGAGCTCTGATTTTCAGTCACCTCTTTCTTTCTCTTTGCAGCGGCGTCCCCATGGCCCTCTTCACAAGAACCAGCAGTCATCCTAACACCACCGACCCCGTTCCCTGTGGGGCAAACAACACTACAGAGCCCGACCTGCCACACTCGCATGCCTACTACGCCCTCTGCTACTGCATCCTGATTTTGGCCATCATCTTTGGGAACGTGCTGGTCTGCTTAGCCGTGCTGAGGGAACGCACCTTGCAAACCACCACAAACTACCTTGTGGTGAGCCTGGCGGTGGCGGACTTACTGGTGGCTACTTTGGTGATGCCATGGGTGGTGTACCTGGAGGTGAGTACGTCCTAGGAAAGATTAGCAGAATTTAAGCACAGTAGGAGTTCACCAGCATTAGTGCACGCTCTCAGGATAGGCCAGCTCTGGTACAGATAAAGTCCATTCATATTTTAAGCCCTCAGCTAGCTCTGGGGCACTTGTGGGGTGGGTAGCAGCCCACAATGTCACGCAGGTGGCCCTCGTAGGCTGGACGCGTGCTGGACAAACGCACCGCAGTCCCCCCTGTCAGCAGATACCCTGAGCCTTGCTCTTTCTGGCAGAGCACAGCCTCGTGGAGCTTGAATGGCAGCTGGGCTACAGCCGGCAGCGTAGATTGGCGGTTCTGATGTGCTAATATCACTTTCATCTGAGCATCCTTGAAGCTGACTCCATCAGCCAGAAGGGTTGCCAGTGAGCACCATGATGACTCAGGAATGGCGGAGGAGGCAATAGGGTGGAAATACCTTTATGGGAGCTCATCTTAGAGCCCAGATCAATCCCTGCTCCTGCTGGCCAGAAAACAAGCGAGGGCGGTCAAATCCTCGTCTCCTGCGGAGTTTAAGAGCCTTAACGTCCATGATGTTAGGTCAGCTCCAAGCAACGTTCCCCAAGCAGGCTGAGAAAGAGATGAAGCTAAAGAACATGCTCTAAAATCTCTTCAAGTCATGTGAGCATTTTCACAATAACTTCAAAGGACTCATCAAGCCCTCAGGGTCTTATTCTCCATTGCCCTGATCTTTGCACATTGGGCAGTGTAAAAATGTACTGGCATGACTGTGCACAGTATGGACAACACCACCAGCTATAGGGCAGCAAAGGTGGAAACCAAATCCCCCCCCCCCACTGCGGCAAAATCCCGAATTAATGAAGCCACTCCCGGGGCAAATATTTTTACTAAAATAAATACATGAAGGTGTGCTACAGCTGACATTTTTATCTGTTCTCATCAGCATTTTTACACTAATTCACAAAAATTGGTAGGTCTAGAAAAATTAGAGTCGAACATCTATCAGCCATAAGTTTTCAGCTGAGCCCTAGTACCCTGTTCTCGTGCTACCAGACACAGAATAAGGCTCTGAGCCATGATCTTGCTGAAGCCTCATGCTCTTTCTCTAAGGGGCAAGCCAGGATCAGGCTGAAGGGTAGGGTAAATATTCCGTTGGCAGCTGCCCACCTTTGGCTGACCTCTTTGCCGCAAACCAAAGCAGAAGCAGAAAGGGATTTTGACTTGTGCATATGGACCGCGCAGTGCGTGAACAGAAGGTAGGACAGGACAGGACAACACTACCAAATGTCAGACCTACTATGTGGGTACAAGGAGATTTGATCAAGTAGCAGGGGACTGGCAGTGGCCTACAGCCGTCCTCTGCCACCGGAGTATGTTGAATAGGAAACATAGCTCTAAGCTTTGACACCCAGCCTGGGCACTTCCCTTGTGTTAATCCAAGCCGCTCTCCCAAACTGTGCCCGCTGCAGTCTCAGCAAGGCTACAATTAAGAGAAATTAAGGGTTTGCTCTGCGTATAAGCATTACTAATAAGGGCATTGGTGGTTAACTGTTTATGCATAGCATTGCCATGGAGTAAAAGAACAAAGAGAGCACCATGATACCGCACGTGTGATCATGTTCCCAACGAAGTCAGTAGCAACATTTAGACTAACCTGTGTGGAGCGGTCCTGGAGCTGGCCTGCAGGATGTGTACAGCTCCGTTGTGTTACACTGAGTGATTAAAAAGCAAGGAATAAGGGGCGGGGGGCATGCAATCCCAGAAAGACAGAATTACACTCTGCAATTTGATTGCAACTAAAAAATATTATTAAAAGTCAAATTTTCTTTTGGACTGGAATAGTCCATCACCTCAAGCATATTCCAGTCTTTAATGAAATCACACTGTGCTTTGCATTAGAAAAGACTTAGCACTCCTTCTCGCTTGTGGAGAGAGCGGGACTAAGGCACATCTGTGAGGCAGCCTCTGCCCCCATGCAGTACTGTGGTCACGATTTGTGAGCACGACAGTAGGTCCGTTCCCTAGTCATGTTTGCAGACCCATTCAAGATTCAGTTCCATCTGTGGAGCTTGGATAATCAAAGTAGCTGATCCAAGTCACCCAAACAACAGGGAGAAGAACCCACACACATCCCAAACCTAATCTACCACTCCCACCACTGCGCAGTATCTCCTAGAGAACTAGGCTGTAGGACTCCAGCAAGACTAAGATTTAAAAAGCAGTCCAAAAAGCCCCAAAGTCATTTAGATATTTGCTGCTGTTTATGGATCAGCAATGCTACCAATGAAGTGGAAATGGTATCATGCTTCAGTACACTATGGGCCTGGAAATTGCCAAGAAATCATTCAGTCCCCAAAACCGTGTACAATACCTATTCATCTACTGAACATTTGCCAAACCAGACATCTGAGACCTGGCCATTATTTATGGAGAAGCTAATGGTGGATGAATACCTCAGATTTAAATGTCACTTGTGAACTTTGTGCTTTACACTCAATTTTTAGAGCTATCTGCATCCTGGACCTTCTCCGTGAAATCTGCCATTTTATCAATCATGCAGACCAGCACTGTCTCTTTCTGAGAAGTCTTTTGGGAAGGCTGTGACAGAGCAACAATAAGAACATTTTATAACCTCAAAATCCTCATCTTCACCTAATGAAGTTTCTGGCATAAAAATGCTATTCAGCACTGTGTCTAGCAATCTTCTGGGGTCAACAGGTAGGTCTAACATACCAGCACTGCTACCCCAGTTCTTTTCTGACCTCTGATGCTGTGGCTGGCGTGACTACTGAAGCTCACCAAGGTTTCTAAGACAGTGGCATTAGGGTATCCTGCCCACTGGAGTTTGATGGCATTAAATACCATCGTGCCTTATGGTTATTGTATAAATGGAGGAGGACATGTAGCAGCATGGCGTGGAGCATCCTTCTCAGTCTTCTGACAACATCCAGTTCTACCTCCAAAGCAAAAAAAGCTTCAGAAGATGATTGTCACTGAGGTCCCACCTGCAGCTCTGTTCAGAGCGTGCGAGAGTAACGCTGTCTCCTCTTCTGTGGCTCTCACACCAGAGCAGCGAGAGCTACAACTGCTCTTCGAGCTCAAGGAGCTCACCAGCCTACCCTCAAAGGGAGGGCAGACAACCGAGTTCCTGCAGCTCAGCAGCTGACCACTTGTCAGCAGGCCTGATTGCGCGCCTGCTCTTAGTTACTCCCGCCGTGCAAAAACATAAGCAGCCATTTCACAGCTACGGGGAGCTAACAGCACGCCCAAGAAGAACGCTTTCTAAAACACCAAACGCTTAAGTGAGCACGCTTAGAGGCACCGCTCCTTACGTGCCTGTTGTCACCTGATGCAACTTCATGTTCATACTTGGCCATCCATATACTCTTCAACATGGCATCATCATAACATACCTGATTTACAGAGATTCTTTCATTTCTTTTTAAGGATTCAGGAGAGTGACGGATTTGTATGTTTTTGAATGCACAATGATTTTTATTTTTTTTTAAATTGGAAGACTTCCCATAGGGTTGGAAAGTTAAAAATAATAATACCGCAATTTTGTGGCTAAAGCAGACTGGTCATCAAGAAAGATGAGGTGAGAACCTGACCTGAATAGTCTACAGGGAGCTTTAGCATTGTCTTTGACAGAGCCAGGATTTCATCCTGGACTCTATTCCCACTTCTGCCACACATGCACTGAGTGGTAATGAGAGATTGTATCAGCTCATCTCTCTGTGGTTTGCTCTCATCAGCTGTAAGAGAATAATATTTAACCATCTACCTCACCCAGGCAGTTGTGAGGATTCATTCAATTAATACCTGTGATGTGCTTTGAGATTCCTGGACAAAAGGCACCAGAAGGATAAAGAACAGGTACCCTGCCAGCATATGAAAAACAGAAATGTACACTAGCAAGTTCTAGCTGCTGTAGCAAAGATAAGCGGAACAGAGCAATAAAAGGAAGAGCAGAAATAGAATTTAAAAAATTATGAACAAGGCCTATAATAAAAAGGCTCTTCTTCATTGTTAAATTTTGGAATAAATTCTGGGTTCACATACCCCATAGGTAAATATTAAATATTTCACCGATTTCAGCAGAGCTACTCCCCATTTTAGAAGTTGTGGCTGGTGGAAGTGAGGATGGGTTTTAAGCCCAAGCGTTTTGATCTGGCAAGCATTCTCTTAATACAAGCTACAGCTTAGTATGCAGGTGGCGCGATCTGAATGCATCATCCTGAGAGCGTTCACTTCAGAGCCATTCCCACCACCACCTTCTTCAGTTTTAATGGTTCACATTCTTGGGCTTAGCATTTGAATGTGCTCAGGACCTTGGAAACTCCCCCAGTTAAGTGCTTGCACATCTGCTGGGCTAGCGGCAGCTGGCTTTCATGCGAACACCTGGCACCAGCTCCTGGTAAATATTCTTCAAACTCCACAGAACACAAAGGCGCTGCATTGCATTTTGCCTCAGACTACAGAAACACCCCTTACTGGATCCCACTGCAAAGGCTTCCAGCATTTATATTTTTTTTAATATATATTTTGAGGTGGTCAAGCAGTTCTCAAAATCTGAAACTAAAGCAAAAACGGTGTGGAGTGTCTTTGAAAACTGAACCCACCTATTAAGGTGCCTCATTTCAGAGGGACAGCCTTCAGTTTGCACATCTTGTAGCCCATCTAATTGTGCAGAAAAGCTCTAAGGGTTTGGTTTTTTCCCTTTGCTTCCTTTTTTTTAGAAAAAAACAAAGGAGCCCCACAAGTATCAGTGAACTGAAGATGAAAGCACAGTTCCCTGCTGCATTTTGCAAGCCAATTCCCATTTCTCTCCCCCGCATTCATTCAGAGTCAGGGGGTCTAATGGAAGACTGCCTCGTTCAGTACCTGACTTCTGCAGCTGGGTCCAGCAGAGAACACCCTAAAGACACAGCTCACCTGAGCGCGTTTCTGTGCCCATGTGCGGGAATGCTAGCATAATCCAAACCATTTAAATTTCTCAGGATTATTTCTTAAACAACTCTGAAAACAACTCACACAGAGTGAATTCTGTATTTATACGAGTGCTCCTCTCTGCAGGGAGCTACGTCCTTCCTAGGCATCGACGCTTGCTGCAGGGTTGACCCACTGCCTCAGAAGCCACGCTTACTTGTGGCACCCTCTCCAGCTTGATCTGGGATAGGTATTTTTGAGTGGGTCTTGAAAAACCTCCAAGGCTGGAGCCTGCACAGGCTCACCAAGCAACCGGCTCCACTGCCTCATGGTCAGAAAGTTTACCTTCATAACCAGTTTGCACCTTTCTTCTTTCAACTTACGCCTGTTGCCTCTTCTTGTCCCACCACACACTTCTGGGAAAAACCTGGCTCCATCTTCTTAGTAACCTAGCTCCAACTTTCTTAATAACCTCCCAGTAGGCACTAGGGGACTTCTGTTAGTCCCCTCACCCCCCCCAAAAGCCACCTCTTCTCCAGGGTGAACAAGCCCTGTTCCCTTAGCTGCTCCTCACAGGACAAGTGCTCCAGCCCCCAGGGGCTGTCTTGGTGGCACTCCGCTGCACTCGCTCCCATTTATCAATGTTTTTCCCATACCGGGGCCCCAGAATCAGACGCAGTACTCCAGATGCAGTCTAAATGTAAGCAGAGAGACTGGGAACTAGTGCTGGTTCCTGATAGTTTCCCAGGATCCAGCTAAACCAGCAGGATCTACGGGGTTGAAGACTAAAATCCAGGCTCTCTCCAAGCAAGGACTTTCCTCCTGCTTTCTCTCCTACCCACCCCCTTCTCCAACCAGCGCAGCATTAGATCGATTTGCTGTACTCATTCAACAGGCTTATCTGTTGGAGGACAGGCTGCCTCCTTCTTCATCTCCAACAAGGAGTGGGTGCTGAGGCAGAGCACCTTGCTTGGAGTCAGGCTATCATCCCAGCCCCGAGGAGAGCAGTGCCACGTGGTGCTTGGAGCATATTGCTGTCAACCGAAAAGATCATTGTCGAGAACTTGATGGCTGGGCCAAAAAATGCATTTCTCCATCACAAAGATTGGCCACAGCTAAGCTTTCACAGTTACACACTTCAGATTAAAAATTCAAAACAACCAGAACAAAAGCTCGACATGGTAGCAAACCAAAACCCTTTATCCGAATAGCTTGTGAGTTCTCTCTCAGATCTAATAATCAAAATCTGTAACTGAGATAAGAATCCAAATAAGCTTTTAGAGAAGCCTCGGGTCTCAGGTCTCTGTTTCATGCATAAATGCATAAAATTTGCAGCACTTTTCCAGCTCACTGCCTGCAAGAGAACTCCAGCAGCTAAGCTGGGAAACACTTTCAGCCCTTAGATTTTCTCAGATAAGCCTTAATCAAAGGATATATACAGTGATATCAAATTTAAATCAATTTATCATGCTAGGTCTTAAGGGAAGGGATAGCTGCTATCTTTTTTTTTACCCTGCCTCCCTCCGTAAGAGTAAGTCAAGGATTGAAATCAAGGTGTGGTCCTTCTCCGTGACCTACCGCTTTGTTATCTTGCACACAACATAAGTGCCTCAGTTTCCCTCTGCACATCACGGTGGACACGAACTCGTCTAGCTGTTGAGATACTGTGAGGAGAGCACCTCCTTATACATAACTTACCAGGACTCGGTGCAGAACAAGGCTGACAGTTTTGTGGTTGCTGCTGCAGGTGACCGGAGGAGTCTGGACCTTCAGCCGCATCTGTTGTGATATCTTCGTCACCATGGATGTAATGATGTGCACAGCGAGCATTTTAAACCTCTGTGCTATCAGCATTGACAGGTGAGAGCCAACAGCATCCAGGGGGATAGTCTGGAGATGGGGGTTGGCCCCATACCCCAGCGTGGCAGGGACAAGGAAACAGGGTTTGCACGGGCAGCATCGGCATCTTCGGGAACACAAGTCTCCCTGCAAGTCCGTCGCTGTCACTACTGCTATTAATACAGTTCTGCCCGCCATGTGCTGGAAGATGTCTGTACTTAAGGGCAGAGAGGCACAAGCAATAAAACATCACTGATAGGTAGTCAACCACATCTTCATGCTTTTTGAAGGCAGGAACCAGTATTGGTCATCTAATTCCCATTGAGTCTCAAAGAGGGTTTCTCCACCTGGAGACCTCACTCATGAAGTTTTAATAAACAAAATCCTGCCATATACATAGGGAGGGGGTGAAGATTATTGCAGCTTAATCTTCAGCCTTGCTCTGGTTTTCTACATCATGAAACTGAGCCTATTTTAAGCAACGCTGAGGGCTGGGAGCCAAGACCTCGGCACACATGGTGCTGTTAGGACCGAGGAGTGGGGGAAGGAAAAAAACCTGCACGCTGTACCTTTGTAATATGTGGTTCAAGGGTAATCATACGAAGCAGGTCTCAACGCTGGGTTGGTCCAGTGTTCCTCCACGGGAATCTTCATCCCTATTTCATTTTGGCTCTGTCTGCAAGTAGCAGCCCCCAGGCTATCCTAAAGACGAGACTCCTATGCTTTCCAAATCCTAGCCTTGCTGAGCTGCATCCCCTGGGGCACCCTGGCAGCCAAAGGCGCTGAACGCCCACCCGTGGGCAATCCGCTGGCTGTCAGCAAGGCTGACACCAGAGCGGGCAGCTGAGGCACAGAGTGTAGCGAGCTGTGGTTGCTCCAGCGAGTGCTATTTCCCAGCAGTGCACATACAACCTTAGGGGTTTGAGGGATGGGGATTTCCTGGGGCTTCTAGATCCATCTGGTATCCCAAACCTTGTAGCTTCACAATGCCGGCAGTTCTGCAGAGCGTTTCTCCGCAGTGCTGCCAACTAATTCTGATTTCCTCTGTTCCTCCCCACAACACCCCGCTTACCATTTCTATAAATTGCTGATTCCACCATCTGATCTTCTCTCCTTTCGTCTTCCCTTTCTTCACCACATTCACCATCATGTTCCCTACATGGCTTTCATTTCTCCTTTTAAAACCTGGTCCTTTTCCTCGCTCCATTCTTACCTCTCCTCTTCCTGGAGCTGGTTTGGTCCACAGATACACTGCAGTGGTGAAACCAGTTCAGTACCAGTACAGCACCGGGCAGAGCTCCTGCAGGAGGGTCTCTCTCATGATTGTGATAGTCTGGATGCTGGCATTCGCAGTGTCGTGCCCTCTCCTCTTCGGCTTCAATACTACAGGTAGGTGATGTCCTGAACAATAGCACACAGGGAGGGGTTGGAAATGAAGCTGCCCTGTCAGGTCATTTAATGTGGGTCCTGCAGACTTTCCAAGTTACAGGAAATTTTAGGGAACTGGAAAGCACATTATGAAAGGTGAGAAAAATCTCCAGTGCTGGAGAGCAGATGTGCTCTTGTCCATAAACTTGCCATTTGCTCAGGCAGACGCTGCCTATTGCTCTGAGGACAGACCTGCCTGCTTTACCAAATCAATGCCATCAGAGTGTCCGGGTCTACAGATCCCCCAAACAATCACTCTGCACACACAGACCAAATCTCCAGACGTGCAGCACATCCAACACACACACACACATCAGACTTACTGATCTTGCCGATATCAACAGGTCCAGATGCACAGGCTTAAATCTGATAGAGGACACATTTCTAAACAGCAAGGACTGCATATTGGCACTGCTTCTGAGAAATCTCCTTCCCATCTAACCGGCTGTCTGCCTCCTCACTTAATCCTGTGAAGAGAGCAAACAATTTAGCCTCCTCCTTGGAAGCAAGTTGGTCTTTCCCCTTCCCCTCACCTAGAGGAGCCCGTTCTCCCGAGGCTGAGGGGCTGGGGAGCCTTTCTCGCCCCTGATCCACAGGCAGAAGTCCTCTGCTCCCCATCCATCCTCTATGCAGTGCTTGAGGTGAGAAGGGGACAGGGGGTGGGAAGTGCTGTTGTCCCCCACTGCCTGGTCCAGACAGATGGGGGTGAGGGCACACCTCTGCATCTAGACAGCTCAAAGGCTGCCGGAGGAATAGGAGAAAGGACGAAAGGAGAAAGGATCCTCTGAGAAAGGATGGGAGTAGGCATGAGAGAAGAGGGCAGAGCTGTTGGCCAGAAAAGCAGGCAGATGCATACCGGGTCATGCTAGACGGCCCCAGGTAGAGTCCGTTTTAAGCATCGGTGAGGTGAGTGGGTAGGCCACAGTATAATTTGCAACAACAGAGATAGGAGATACTTGCACTCCTCAGACTGCCTTTGTCCCCCGGCCACCTTTCGACTTGCTTTGCCAACGCACCGGACCCTCCTTGTACTAAACCGAAGCAGCTCAGCCGCTCCTCTCTCTCTCTTCTCCTCCCCAGGGGATCCCAGTGTCTGTTCCATATCCAACCCTAGTTTCATCATCTACTCCTCTTTGGTGTCCTTCTACCTCCCCTTCATGGTGACCCTGCTGCTCTATGTCCGGATTTACCTCGTGCTAAGACAAAGACAAAAGAAGCGAACCCTCACCCGGCAGGGCAGCCACAGCGCCAGCACCAAACCGTGTTATGCACACAAAGTAAGAGCCACATGAACGCAGTAGGAGCTGTCAAAAAGGACAGGGCATGCATCATCTCTTCTCCTCAAAGGGTCAAAGCACAGAATGGAAAGCATAAAGAAGGGACATGGCATGTTTTCATCCCATCCTTCACTCATACGCCATGATATATGAGACGCAGAAGCTCCAGTTAAATCCTTTTCAGCCCTCTAGAAAGCAGGTGCTCCCTGTGTATGTCTGCCCTCTAGAACCAGGTGACTAAAAAAGAGCATGGCCTACTTCTGTATTTCTTCAGAGCAGGGCTTTCTCAGCCATGCAGAAGTCTGGCTAATTTTTTCATTTATTGTCTTCTGATTTTAATGTCTTCATTTATTGATTTTTGCTCTATGATGCTTCATTCTCAGGGCTTCACAGGCTTTAACCTAGATTATTTAAAAAAACAAAAAACAACCTCTTCATCTGACGGACTTAAGAGGTCAAAATGCTCATGGTGCATGGAGCATTTTTTCCACTGACCTTTCTAGACGAAATACCTGCAACCATGGGAACTAGCGCAATGGTTTGAAAGGGCTTGCCTGGTCACGCATATCCGCTTGTTTTACCCATTTTCTCACAGTGAAGCTACATTAAAAAAGGGTGGGGATGTTGAGGGGAGCAGGGCCAACAAAAAAATACAAGCAAAAGGTTAGCAGAGTAGGTGTTTCAGCTCTTGTTCTCATGCTTCTCCTTGGTGGGATGGAGGCAGAGTTGTTCGGTGCTGGTTCACCCTCTGATAAGCCAAGGTCAGTCCAGAGGATATGGTGCAAACCTAAGAAACAAGTGGGGCTAAGGATGACTCCTACAACTTTCCTCATCCTTTGACCCAATTAATGGTTTGGATGGTTCCTAGTTCCTCTGTGGCATCCTCTTTTGCAGGAACACATGGAGAGAAAAGCTTTGCCAAACAGAAGCCAAGGCACCTTTTCCCCCTGTCTCCCACTCAAATGCTCAGGCCAGGAGACATCTACCAAAAGGCAGCTGCTGACCGTCTTCAGCCTGCAGCGGTACCGCAGCTTCTGCCACGAGGCATCCCTCACCAAGACACCAGGGACTACACAACACAGCAGGCTGGAAGAGAGGAGAAAGAGTACGAAGCCAGGACTGGAGGTACGGACGCTCAGCGATGGCAAAACCATCAGCTCTTTGAAGCTGGCGCAGCAGCAGCCCCGGCTGATCCAGCTTCGGGAGAGGAAGGCTACGCAGATGCTGGCTATCGTCCTGGGTGAGTGAGAGCCACTCTGTCTAGTGGGGTGCAAGGGCTGATGGTTTGGGACTTGCAAGAGCAAGGAGTCTCCTAATACAGTGTAGAGAGTAAAAAAATGCAAGCCAGACCCAGACTTCAGCTGTCACTGATCCGCAAACTCTGAAGAGACGACGGTGGGACATTTAGGGAGCTAGGGTAATGCTCTCAAATGTTGAGAGCCAAGTATGTTAGTGTTTTATTTGCCATGATTTGTTACCATCCTGTTTTAAATTAGTGGCCAACAAGCCCTGCTAGAGGGAGCAACAGCCAACACCTTTGCTTTCCCTTTTCCTTTATTATTATTATTATTATTAAGCTGGGACGATCCTAAGTTTCCATACACACAGAAGCAATTAGGTCCAATTACAGAAGGGGAAGGAGCAGCAGAGGAACCAGCTCATAGAGCTGGATAGAGAAGCCAGGAGACTGGTGCCCCAGTCACCTGCCATGGTCACCAGATGCATTCCTTCCCCTCATTAACTCAGTAGTAGCAGGGAAATAATGCAGCCCTCGTCGTAACTGATTAAAGCAGCTAAGGCAGCAGTCTAAGTTGTGGCTGCTTGCTTTTGTCTGTCACCAGACCATTCCTGAAGCCCCATCCATCCATTCACATAACTGGTCCCAAGGAGCCTCTGCTCTTGCCAAGTCCCTCTATATCAGGAATAAACGTCGCCTTCAGCGTTTACCAGATGCAGACATGTGCATGGAAATAGTGAGAGGATGGAGGGAGAGGGCACAGTTGCAGGCCCCTTTCCAAGCAGTTGCTTCTCTAAATTCATGGATTGTTTTCTCCCTCTCTCTAAACCCAGGGGCATTCATAGTCTGCTGGCTGCCCTTCTTCTTGATTCACATTCTCAATGCCCACTGCCCGTCCTGCCACGTGCCCCCAGGGCTTTACAGTGCCAGCACCTGGCTTGGCTACGTGAACAGCGCTCTCAACCCCATCATCTACACAACCTTCAACACCGACTTCCGCAAAGCCTTCCTCAAGATCCTCTGCTGCTGACCGCGGGGCCGGCACCGGGCTGCACAGGCTGAGGTTTGGAGCAGAAGCAAACCGGTGAGTCGCTCGGCGTCGGGCACAGCGGTGCCGAGAGGCAGACCTGGCGTGCGGTGGAAGATAGCTGCCGCAGCATGCTGGCCCTGGGAGCTGCCAGGCTCGCAGAGCGCACGGGACCCAAGAGGACATGGACCCGATCTCCCCAACCTACGTGCCGGGAACGCATTTGCCCTCCTGCTGCTGGAGCCTCTGCCTGCAGAAGGCACCCAGCTCACGCGCAGCAGTCCTAATAAGAGAGCGGAATGTGACCTCTTTGATAAGGATCCCGATCCCTTTGATCGGGAGCCAAGAGCAAAAATTCGGCAAGGAAACTTAGAAACGGAGCGCCGATGGAGAAACGACAACATCCCTGCTGTCTCCATCAAAAGGTTTGCCCATAAAACTGGGTCAGTCTCAGTGCTTGAGATAATTGCTCCAGTTGCAAGTGAAACCTTCCCCTGTGCTGCCAGCTTGTATTTTATTGCTCCTTGCAAGGTAGAGAGGTGGCTACCATCCCTCTGGTAGGTCAGATCACATGAGAAGTGCCACACTTATCACAGTGTCCCCTCTCTTCCAAACCCAAGGACCAGCAATAGATTGGCCACTACTTAACTACCATATACCCAGTCATCTGCTGGGGCCACTAAATAATGAACAAGGCCTAGGATAGCTCCAGTCATGCCTGCGATAGATTCAAACCTGTTTTTTCAGCTGGGGCAGGTGGCATGCACCCAGCCTCAAAACTTGTTTGTAGTCTTTTTGGAACCAATCTGTTTGCGCTCCTCTCCTCATCAGGAGCGCTGCTAGATGAAGGGTTTGTCCTGTCTGACTGCTGCGATAACTCCTGTGACCGCCCACGCTGGGGGGAGAGCTGTTTCAGTAACATCCCTCCCAGTACGAAAGGACGTGTGCCTCAGGATCAGACCCAGGACTCTCCCTGGCTCCCCTCGCCGATATACCTGTCAGCACACAGGGCGTCCGTACACCCCAGCTTCCAGGACCTGGCCAAATGGAGCCCTGCTACAGCCTCCTTTCCCAGCAGTATTTTACAAAGCCATCTCCAGTAGTTCGTGGGTGAAAACACCAGAAAAGCCCTGCCGTACCACGTAAGCTGGTCCCACGTCAGAGCACTCTAATGCTTGTCTCCTTGTATAAACAAACGTGACCTGGGACAGCCTCAACACGTTTCTTTCATTTCCCCCCCTCGCTGTACTGGATCAGCTCTCACTCCCAAGACTAAGCTTAGCTGTGCTGTTAGCCGCGCTCGTTTGACAGCTTTGGGTGTAACTGTGTGTGCTGTCTCTGCCCGTGTCCATGCCACAGCTCCTCCGTCTGGGAAGGGCTTCCTCTCTTTCCTAATATAAAGCCAAAACCGTTGTCCTCAGACTCTGGAGCACATAGCAGAGCTCTAGCTTCTTCTTTTGTTTGTCTGGGTTTTGGGAGGAGGTGCTCGTGGACAGCATGTGCTGTTTGCTTGGGGAGGTGCCCTCCATACTGCATTGTAACTGCATTAGTCCAATAAAACACAGATGTAATTGGAAGTTTTGGTACCTTTGTGGTGAACATAGCCCTTCCATAAGCCTTTTCTCACCGTAGCCCTCTTAACACCTTCCCGGTACGGTATTATCATCCGCCTGGACACCCACAAGAGGTCTTTATTATTACTTGTATTTTACTTGCACCTGGGAAAGAAATCAATGGCTGCTGTAAGTGTTACTCCATCTGCTCAAAGGTGCAGGACAGCACCGAAGGTACTCAGCACACAGGATATTGGGGGTATCAATCAAGTGAATCAGCCTGTGGACAGATTGCTGCTCAAGTAATTCTCATTAAGATGCTTCATAACACATACCACCAGAGACCAGTTTCAGTTGCTTTACACACACAGTTGCCAGAAAGGTGGAAACAAGGAAAAAGATCTTTTAAAGAGTGACTAGGTCCATTTCAAGCCCTGGCCTAGCATCTCTCAGGTGTCATGTTCAGTCTGATCTTACTTGAATTTGAACCTGTTCTTCAAGCAGTGATCCCCAAGGCGATTCAGGATAGAGGTGAGCAACAGGAGTTGTGGCTGAAGATCAAGCACTATTTTGGTACCCACACAGTTATGAGGGATGGGGAAAGTTCTATGCCTAAAAATATCGTCCTTTATTTAATAATTTAGATTTGAACTATCAGATCACAGAACAAACAGCATCCTCTTGAACTATAACCTGCTATGGATGAAAAAAAAAAATAGCACCACAAACCTCACCCACAATTACAAAAACTCAGCTCCAAAATAAAACCATCTCTCTCTCCCCCTCCCTCAAATACTGCTTGAGCTCCATGCCCAGTTTTACTGTGGCAGTATGAACACAGGTGGCTTCACAGGAAAGGCCAAGGAACAGAAGCAATCAAAGGTGCAACCAGTTGATTGCACAAAGGTGCACTGTCCTCCCCAGCAAGCCAGAGGGACAGCTGAGGAGCCCCCCAGGACCTGTGCTTCACAAACCCCCCACTCATTATTTACAGTAGAAAAATCCGCACTCCCTCATCTTTTAGCTGAAATGCCTCCTCCTAACCTTCATTTTCTACACCATTTTCATCTTTGCTGGTGCTTTTCCCCTGGCTCCACAACAGCTGGAAGAGGAGAGGTTAGCCGTTACTCTGTGCTCTGCTGAAGAGCCACAGGCGTTGTGCAGGGTTTCATTTACATGCTGATAGTCACATTAGAAAAACCTTTGGAGAATGCAGAAAGGTCCTCTCCCACAGAGAGAAAGAGGGAGCTCAGAGACCGCTGTAGGCTGTAAATAATTCTGGGTGTCAGGAAACCTGCTCCAACAGCGCAGCTGAGCAGACGTGCAGGCGCGGCAAGGGGTCCTGCAGTCTGTGCTCACCTACACTCTGCTCCACCAGGCAGCAGGAATGGGATAGCTAAGGTCCCCTGTGCTGGATGGCATTGGTAAACGAGCCAGCAGACAGAATAGCCAGGAAGCATCTCTACTGTAGCGGAGGAGAGTGAAGACCCTTTGGAGACAAAGGAGAGCTGGCAAAACCCACTGGGAACAGCAGCCCCCCCCGCAAGGTACAAGGCAGTCATCCAAGTACTGCCTGTCTAGACGCAATTACAGCACGCCTGAGAAATGGACTGAAAAACACCATTTATCCCCTGCCTCCGTTTCTCCAGGCAGACATGTGTCCCAGCTCGCAGAGCCATAGGCTCCGACTGAGCTGCAGGAGCCCATACGAATGAGCTGCTGGGCCCGCATACCCCCATGGCTTGCTCAGCAGGCTCACTCAGGTTAGCAGCCACATGCAGCTCTCCTGCAGCACCGCACACTGGCTCGGACAAGGCCACGGAGACCCGGATCTTCTCCACATGTACCTGGGGCTCCCCAGGGGTACGCTTGTGGTAGGTGTGCCACACATTGCATGCATCAAGCTTGCTGCTCCCGCCTGGGATGCTGCTCTTCGGGGGCTCCTGAACAGCACCAACCCACCCAGGTGTGTACCTGCACCTCCCAGTGCCCTCCCCGGAGGGACACGGGGGACCTCGACGATAGCTGCAGCTCTGAGGCGCCTTTTTTTTAGAGCATAAAATATGTAAATAAAATGGATTATGAATCCATAGTTCAGAATAAGAGGTTCTTCAGAGTAAGTGGCAAGAGCCTAACTCTGAGCTGGAAAGGACAGCTGGCCAGGCAGCAACCTGCTCTCCATGGTGCCTTTCAATCTGCAACTTCTCCTCAGGCTGCCATGTGGTAGCCATGATGGTAGAGGGTATTTAAGGTGAGTACTGATCATCTGAAAACAAGGCAAGACAAGACAACCCACCCCAAGCAGCTCTCAGTCACTCACTGCTACAAGCATGGCAGGCAGAAGCAAGCAGAAAGCACCTCCATAGCTCACTGCCACCCCTTCACAGACCACCAAAAATTTCTATTTAGGCTGCTATATGGTGGTTATTGTAACTACTTCTGTGGCTTACTTGGGTTCAGGTGCAACAGGAGATGTGCATCACAGAGCAGAGCCCCACATGTGCCCCATGGCTCTCAGCTGTGTTCTCAAGGGCCACAATTTAAACTTCAGATCTAGCAGCAAAAAAACACAGGTTACCCAAGTTACTAAAACCTTAAATGGTACCAGGCACCAAACTGAAGCCATATAGAGCTAAAATCAGCAGTTCTTATGTTAAGTTTTACATTGTAAAACAAAAACAGAGAAAAACCCATAAAACACTCTCCCTCCTCAGAGGCAGCAGCAGGCACGACAGGCACCAGGTCACGCAGCAGTCTTTAAGCAGGAGAGCACAAAGGCCCATGGGGCAGAAGGTACAACAATCTTCCACGAGGGAAGGCTGCCGTGCTGGGAAAGCAAGGAAATGACGGAGGAGGTGGGTTTCACCCACTGGCACGGTCCCGCTGCTCTGCAGGTGACACTGCTCTGCCAACATGCTCCAGCGCACCTTGCAGCAGCTCTTGGACACGTCTTAACAATCCCAGCTGCAGCCAGACATTAAAAACGCGCATGTGTCAGACTACAGTAAAGACAAAGCAAATTCTTGCAGAAAACCTCGCTTCCCCAGGTAATCCTCCCTAGACTCCTTAGGGGATGGGCTGGCCAGCTACTCAGCTGAGCTCAGCTGGACCCCGCTGTTAGGCTAAGCACAAGCAGCTCTCCCTTGGCAGAGAGCGCACCTGGAGTCTGCTGTATTGCAGCCTCTCTGAGGGGGATCAGAGTGATCTGGGGACCTGCTTCCCTAGGCTGGTCCTCTGTCCACAGCTGGGATCAGCACAACCTGCTCAGGCTAGCAGCTCCTCTGCAAGGGGCAGCCTTAGACGAGACAGAGCTTGGCTTAAGCTTATTGCAACGCAAAGCCCTGTCTCAGTCACTGTTACTGACGTGATGGTTTTTGAAGAACGCCTAATCAATGCCAGCATTTCGAGGAAGGATCAACAGGCTGCTGGCTGCTGATATGCTGTTGCTCAGAAAACTACAAATA